AAATTAGTATGTTACACTGTTTATAAATATGTATTTATGGCTATGAGGCAGGTATGCCCCATTGTGGACACACGTCATTGTCTCATCCAAATACATGGTTTATTGTTTTTCAGCGCATATTTTTAGCTGTGAGGCGGGTAGGCCTGCAGAGCAAATAATACAAAAGAATATGTCCATTACTGAACTGGCTCTGTGCTTTAAAATTATACCACTCTTCTTCTAGATCTGAACACAGTGAGACAAGTACATTGGCAAAATAATTATTTATCACTCTTAAAAGCTGCCTTTAAAATTTCTATCATTCAAATACTGGCTGGGGAAAATGTAAAGTACAGACAAGCATATTTTACGCACTTGCTAGTCTAGCTTTTATGCTGATGAGAACTTACTAAACACCAGTAAAGGGAATAGCAGTTATCAGCCCTAATTCACAACTGTGAGGTTTTCAGGCCAAACAGATGCCCTTGCAGAATTGCAGCCAAGTGTTAATGACAGGCCCAGTCCTTCCACTGTAGTCACTGGTTATTTTGTACGGCTTCAAACGAGACCAGGTTTGCTCCAATGCTCTGAGCTAGCACGCTGCTCTCAGTGAGATACTCATTGCCACAGGGAGCATGATAGGGACCTCTAAGATCACCCAAAGAAAGCAAAATAAAAAAAAGACTCTGTACTTTGCCTCAGGCTTTTTTCCTTTGATGTGTAGAATCCTTATTTTAAATTCTTTTTCAGTTGATTAAAAATAACGGGAAGGAGACCTTCAACATGAAACCAGCTAAATACACCAAGAGATCTCTTTGAAGAGACATTTACAATCTCCTCAAAATCTGTTCAGTGAATTTTGCTATCACTTATACCTGTAAGTAGCTTGGAGCTCCCTGTGGTAGCAGAGGACAGACAAGGAGGGTCGGTGCCCATGTTTAGGTCTGTGTTTCCAGACCCCATCAGTAGAAGAGTCTGCAAGAGCTGAACCAGCAGGACCCCAGTCAAGAGCTTTGTACTGCAAAAAATCTTTGCCAGGCAAAGCCGTACTCTTGTCTTTAAAATGATTCAGGGTAAGAAAATTTAAGCCCAGGTGTAAACATTTGCAAAGGGAGGTTTATTTTTTCTACCTATGCACTTGAAGTGAACATTGAAAGGGCAAAAACATCCTGATCCTGTCATGGCGATGTCTTCCTCTGCTTCCTAAAGCTGAGATTGTCATCTCACTGCTTGTCAACAGCTCCTGAGAGAAGTAATTCCTCCGATTTTCCTGTGTAATCACAGCACAGGATTTTATTTCTGTTGTTACGGGAATGGAAAATGCACATAGCCTGTTCTCTGTCTTGCCCCTTTGAAGTTACTTACAGACCTGGATGTAGCAAGCTTCGCAACGCCCCGACCGCACTAAGAAAGCAAAATCTGTGCTCACTCCAAGTTTGAAGCAATCTGCTTGTGAGCAGCTCTTCTCAACAAAGGCAGGAAAATTTCCAGCTTTAAATTTCTATTCAAATTAAAGCTATGAAGCCTGAAGACCACAAAACTGTTGCAATTGCTTTCCAGCACGTAAAATTAACAACTTGTGCTGCTGTGTGCAACTTTCAGTCAAAGTTTGTCTGATTTATAAGCAAGCAGATGGTTCACACGGTAGTCCACAATAAATTACAACAGTTAGAAAGACAGCTACATTTTGCGAGTGACAGTGCAGCTGAGCTACAGATGGGTTTATAGATGACCCTTCCAATTTTTAATAATCTCCATAATTTATGTGCAAGTAAAGAAATGCGAGGATTTCTAATGCACCTTCTTGCCTACGTACAAATCACTTTTATTTACACAGGCAATACTTCATGGTCCAGTTAACTTCTTAATTAAAGGCAGCAAGATGCTCATGTTCCATGCAAGTGGCATGGAAAATACAGTTTAGTGCACAATATGTTCATCTGGGAGTTTAAGATGCTCTGATCACTCCTGGAAAAGGGAATGCATCCATCTCATGTCTTTAAAACAAGACCACAAGGGTGCAAACACTGCTACCATCAGTTACTATCATTCAATCTCCAGATAAACTTTAGGCTCATGCAGTTACAAGGTTAGGTTTATTTGCAAGCTCTGATGCTTAGAAATAGGTTCCTGATCCAGGAGGCACTACAAACTGAGTATTGCTGAGCCAGGATTAGGATGGGGAAACCACAGGAACAGAGACCCTCATTACATGAAGAGAGAGGGATTTGGGGGATCACTATTGAATGAGTGAGTGAAGACGAAAGCGACCCTGGAAGGTGTCATTCCCGAGACAGGAGGCAGTGGTGGTGCAGAAAGAAACTGGCTGGAAGCAGCTTTGAGAAGCCAGTTCATGGCAGTGATTTTGATGGCACGGGACCAAACCACTTTGGTCCAATCCTTCCGCTAACATTTTTGAAGGGACTCTGAGAAAGATGCCCTTGTTGGGGGGTCATCAATTGCATGCCACAGTACAACAGACTCTGTTTTTCTCTACTGTAATTTTGGTTGCAATGAGTTACTTTCTCAAAGGAGCACAGCTAAACGCAACTACCCTGTCCAGAAGGTGATGGAGGGGGCAGCACGTACTGCAGCTAATCAAGACACAAAAGCTCAGAGGTTCCCACACGGCCAGTTTCTTGCAAAGACATTTGAGGGCTTTTCCTCCTCTCCAAACCTTGGTCTTCCCTTTCTGCCAAATTAATTTGAGAAAGAAATCCACTTTTTTAAAGTGGAAAACCCACTCCACGGAGGTCACGCAACTGTAGCCACTCATGTAAAAAGCGATTCTTCCCCTGCTATTTTCGCACAGCACCACCATCCCTTCATCTACTACACGGAACATTAGTGAAATTATTTTTTTTTAAACAAAAGTCTTCTATAAGTAACCAGTGTCTGGAAATCTTTCAAGCTTTATATAAAATCATTATCTATTACTGTACACAACTCTTGGGTTGCTTAATTTAACATATGAAAAATATGGACCAGCCTTAAATCGCTAAACCATGACATATGTCAGCTTATTTCTGGAATGTTCTTTACTTTATTATTATTTGTCATACTGTTTCTGTTACACTTTGCATATTTAAAGCCGCATTACACACTTCTGAAAACCCAGAGAAGATTACTGTGGAATTAGTGTAGATGTTCATCAGTACTACTGAGAGCTGATTTTGGCACTTTATTTTAGCAACATTCATCAAGTTCAGGAATTGCTAATATGGTTCCCTTCAAGAGAATACTGAGTCATACTACTGGTCTTTAAAAAAAATATAGCGCTGATTAGTTAATAATATTTTAAAATATTCCATAACTATCCTTTGATTGACTGCACCTGTTCCATTTGCTTACAAGATGCCGAATTCACACATAGCACAAGAAAGCAGAAGTTGATTGAAATCGATAGGATTGCCCCTGTTGCCCAGCAGTAATTCCAGCATTATCGTGAGCAACCTGGAAGCCAGCACAGACTCTTCCAGTTTAACTCCACTGAGAAGTTGGAGAAGCTACACACGTGGTTTATACAACTCTGTAGTTAATACAGTCCCCAGGACTCGTCCACTGAAGGCAGCAGGGATGCTCCAGCTCACTCGGCTGTAGATCAGACCTTCTGGCTCAAAACCAGACCCTTCTGTGACCAACAGCACAACTATTCCTGGAGGAGGGATAAAGCAAGGAACACACACACACAGGCCTTGCCTTACATTTCTTGTTCCTTGCATTCATTAAACTGTCAATGATGTGGAAAGTAGTTTCATAACCTCAAGAAAGGGACACCTTTTGTCCCCCCTACTATATTAAAATGTAGATCAATATGATAACAAGTAAACAGTAAACTCCCCACTAGTAAGAACTGGTTCTCAGTTCTCTGAGTAATCAAATTTTATTCCCAGAAATATAACTAGAGCAAAAGAAATGTAAGTAGCAATTTCTCAGTCTATTCATCAAACCAAGTGCTGCACCTTTTCCACACATTTTACCTTACAAAGCGTATGACATGTAAGGTTCTACGGTTCCATTTTAATTCAGGAATGAAAACATTTACAGATATGAACGTTTTCTCATTAACTTTTCTTCCTAAATGATTATGCTTGTTCAAATCAATCCCTAGCCATCTTACAGAGGTTACAACCTTCAATAATTAAATTGGATATTGTATTGGAAGTTGTGTTGATTATGCTACAAGTTCCAATTTCTACAAGACCACTGAAATGCTGAGATAAAGAGATGTTAACTTTATTTAATTAGCTATCTGCCATTGTTATCAAAATGGAAGGTTGGTATCTCACTCAAATTAACACTTTGGATCAGGAAACAAGATAGATGACATCTTCTGAGAAGGATCCTGGAAACGCTCTATAATTGTTGCAGTTATTTTAAAGCTGCTCAGGACAAACAGGATCGCATCAGAAAGAGCAAAAGTCACCACAGTCAGCGAAATGCTACTATGAAAATGCTATTTCAGTCACACTTCGGTTCTTTCTCATTTTCAGTTGTTAACATCCTTGCCACTTTTGTCAACCAGTCTCTCCTAGCAGCACTGAATTTTAACTGCACATAATTTTAAAACACAACATGAAATGGGACTGAGCGTGTCCTACGGGTTTTGTGTGCCAGCTAACAACAGATCAGGTCCTTCTGCCTCTCTGCAGAAAAAGAGTAACCAATTAAGTGAAAGCTGGATCTCGTAACTGCCTGCCATCCCTCCACCTTGAAAATACAGGTCTCTCGGTCGAGGGCTGTTTATGATTTAATCCAAAAGGAGACAAAAAGACAAGGTGAAACCTCAGAGGTCCTGGAAACATTTTATCTATAATCTAAACTGATGTGTATCAACCTTGCAACTGCTCAGAGGATTTAATATCTGGACGAGGTGCTCAAAGAATACTCACTGTCTCACTCCCCAAATTACATTTGTATAGAGTAGCCAAAGTAATTCATCCAATAACCACGCCACTCTGCTCTTGGTTTGTTATAGCTACAGCTACAGAAACGTGCTTATTCCTTTCCCAACAACTTACTGGTCTTGACCGGATTTCTTTGGCGTAGAGAGGTTTCAAGAATTCTGAATCTCCTTCGAGTTTTAGACCCTTTTCCGTGATTCTCAGGTTCCCCATTCCATCCTAAAACAGATAAAAAAGAAACAAACCCATTAGTCACAATTACTAAATTCATGGAGGTGAACATGTGAAGCACTGGGAGGCACTAAAGAATGTAATTACTTGTGTTATCCTTTTAGCTCCGTTTCTGCGAAAAAGAATTATATTCAGAACAATCTGCAATGTTCCCCAATAAACCATTTACACAGATGAAAGATGTTCTTTTCAGCTAGTTATCTTTATTCAAAGAGATGCAATGATGCTCTGTGTTAACAGCAAACTACTCCCTGTAATATTCACTGTGTACCTGTATATTAATATACCTTCTCATTCATAGCAAATCCCTATAAAGACTATGTGGTTAATTCCACCAAACCAACAAAATCAGGTTTGGCTATGTAGGACTATTGCAATAAAATATGGTAGGGAATTTGACCCCTGTTATTTGAGGAAATCTCTGCAAAATACAGGCTCTTTGGTGGAGTTTCTTTAGGACTATCAGCCCTTACAACAAAAGGATGTGGAAACCTGCTGTTCAGTTTCAAGTCTCACAGTCTTTCGCGTGCTTTCAATATTGTTAAGGCACTACACAGCTTTATTGAAATACACATTTATGGAAATATTTGCTCTGGGAAAAGCAACATCTTTCCAACACGCTGCTCTCCTGCCTTGGGTAACTCCCGATGTTTCTCTCCTGCAATGGCTAGCTCAGGGTTGGGGCCCTCGCTCTGCTCCTTGTCCAGCTCAAGCACATCCCAGCAATCTGAACCTCCAGATCCAAATGTTTGGGTCTCCTGAGTCATTTTCCTGCCTTTCAAATAACCACTGCAAGCTCCCAGTGGCCAGGCAATGAAGTGACTGGTGTAACATGCGTTTCTCTCCTCTCCTCATTTGGGTTTCATAGTTGCAGCCACCAGTCCTCACCCTCTCCCCAGCCCTGCACCAATCACCCCCAGCCCTCACTGCTGCCTGCACTTCAACGGCAAAATTCTTCTTGACAAATGGTGTGAAGTGTTGGCTGCAGGCCTCCTCCCCATGACTGCAAATAGACCATTTTCTTTAGAAATTGTTTAGCTATGTGTGTCCAAGATGTAATGAAACATCTGACAAACCATAATAGCAAACAAAACACATGTCAAAATTTTATACGAGTTTTTCTTATGGTTTTTATGCAGTAAGACAGGTATACGGATACACTGGCATAGAGCAGAATAGGACCAAACTATGTTTCACCTTTAACTTCTGAAAGTCATGACTTTTACTAAGATGAGGTATTTAGGTTCATTTAGGCTATAATTGCTTAGAAAGGTGTTTGTATATAAGAAACACAGTGTGGGGAGGGAAATGCAAAGGGAAAAGGATACTCAAAACCACATCAAATGCAAAGTATTATTACTAAGATTCAGGGTGATTGTCAAAGTTTGCAAGGATTGAATTACATTTGTTTTTTTTCCCTGAGAAAAGATTGTCAGAGGATTAGCTTTTAGCACAAATTTGACTGACATCACTAAGATTTGAGACTGACGCTAGCAAAAGTTATGTCTCCACACATATAAATTAAGACTGGGAAATGACCAAGAGTTGGGTAGTCAAGAATAAGCACGGCAGCCCTCAGACATACTCCTTAAGGGAACTTTCAACCTGGAGAAGCAGGAGGATGATGCTGTATGATGCCTCAAGGCCTCCAAGATAAGGCATGGTATAACAATCCCAAAATCTGCAACAGCTGGAGCTCAGCATGGGGAGGACATTGCAATGAGGGACAAACACATCCGTGCTTCCAGCAACAGGATCATGCAGGGTCATGCAGGCCACAGAATGGCAGGAGTAGTAATTTGGAGGAATTACTGATTTATAAATACGGATGTGCCACACTGACTCCATGGCATCTCATCATGTAATTTAGGGACTCGCTGACAGGGACTGGGCTGCCTCCTTCTCAAGTGCTGCTAGGAATGCCCTTAAACACTAAAGTCCGAATCAAAAGAGCCACCTGAGCCCTTTTGAACTTACAGCTTCAAGGATTTTGGAGGGTAGAAGCCCTAAAAATATCAAGATAAGACTGCGAAAACCCGGGAAAACCATATCTATTTGGACATACATCTTGCATGCTTTCTAATCCAGCTGTAAAAACCAAACCACATCTGTCTACTTCCTCTCCCTCCCATTGCATGTGCACCTCCAGCACTGCAAAAGGAATCGCTGTCACTAGAGGTGAGTGGCCAACCCAAACATGTCTGCATGAACTATTGCCAAAAGGCGCCAACTTGGAGGGATGAAAATCAAAGGCACAGCAGGGCTCAGCAGTGACGCTGGTCACTTGCCAGAGGCTCTCCTGATCCAAAAAGCATCATTCCCAGGATGGACCATGCCCAGTAAAGATCATTTTTGCCAGAGTACGGTGTGGTACAAACAAGGCAGGCTCAGGAGTGCTGGGTGATAAAATGACCGATGCCATCTCATTTTGAAATAAAAGCTGTAAGCAAACTTTAAATAGAGATGTATGCCAAAAATACTATTGATTTGAAGGGAGAGGGGAATGAGAGATGAGTCATAAAGTGCCAGTTGCTACACGCCTTATCCTGGGTGTAAAACATCGGCTTGTGAATTCTGGCTTGGTGGTGGCACAGAATGAGTTCATTTATCTCAAGCAAAAGGATGAAGGAAAATGAGTGAAATATGATTATGCACAAAAGCCCAGATTAAATTTTGATAGTGGTATGCTTTGCGATTTCAGTGAGCAGGAATTACTACAGCTATCTGCAGACTCTCACATGTTTTGTGCTGCTAAAAAAACCCAACAACCTACAATTTTTTTTTCCCCAAATAAATATTTCAGGAAGGTTACAAGCCCTGAGGGCTTTCACATTGCAGGCTCTTCTCTGGTTTCATTCTGAAAAGTTGCAGGTGGTGGGAGTTGGGATGCAGCACATATCGCTGCGAGAATGACCACCTCTGTGGATACGCACTCCTGACCACTGCAGGGCTCGCTTTGGAGCTGAAGTGGGGCAATTCTTTACCAGGAACATGGACCAGTGGATGAACTCCCTGCTCCTCGTGTTTCTCAGCATTACAGATCACAGCTTTTTGTAGCGACAGCCTGTGTCAGCAGGTCAAAAAACAAGCAATGGTTGTAACCTGAGTTTAAAGTTAACAAGTGTCCTGGCCTCTTATAGTAGGATCATGATTAAGTCCTATTCATTTTTTATTTCCCATTGGAAAAAACCAAGCAGCTTGCAGAATTATGTAAAGAACCCAAAATACAGTCACATTAGAGAGAAATCATTGTATGAAAGACTACCTCGCATGTTGTTTCGGATAAAGCATCTTCATCCTCCCTAAATTATATGGTTTAATAACAAATAAATGTCATACTCTGCTAGAGACAATATATATATGAAAGTTCCTATGAAATTTCATGGACTGTGACCTATAAAATGTAGCAGAAAGCTTGCCCGTGTGAGACACCACAAGGTTTTATTAAATATTTTGCCTGTGATTGGTGTATATCCTTATCTGTCACTCTATTGCTTGTGAATGAGGACAAAAAGCAGCATTGATTATTTAATACACTGACATCCGGCAATCTCTTCTCCCCTTTTCATGAGTAGACTCCTCACTGGACAGTGAAGGACTTTACTGTGCAGGCACAAGCCAGCTCTGTGGGAGCTTCCGGGGGGCAAGCTCCAAACAGGAGGCGCAGAGCTGGGAACTTTCCATCACCGCCTGCTTTGAATTATTTGGCTTTTTGGTAAAGCATGGTGAAAACTTTCCCATCAATTTTATCATCTACGCTTCCTCTCTTTTTACGCAGTGCCTTGTAATGGGCAGGCATAAAAATTTATGTGCTATTTCTGGCTGCTCTGTGATGAAAGAAGACAGCAATGGTAAAATCCTGAATAACATAAAGGTCATTTTGGTGAGGCTGAATGAGAAAGGATTTTTTTTTAGTAGCTTGAGAAGCAACTCAGTTTTACAACCAATTGCAAGCGATGATGTTAGTGTTAGCAGCAATGACAGGCTTTTCCCCTCTCTGATCACCAAGGCTCGTCTTTGCTTTTTGGCTGGCAACGTGTGGGTAAAGCCTAGCTGGTTTTGGTTGCCTTTTTAACAGTTGTGGGTTATTATTATTATTTTTTAAGTTATATGACTGGCAGCAGGGAGATTCACTTAACAGAAGATGAGAAAACAACCAACCTAAGCAGGGACAAGTAATAGCTGTGGTAAATAACTGGAAGTGGTATTAGCTGCACCAACCCATACTGCTCACACATAGGAACAAGGGCAATTTTCAGTGGTGTCTGCCATCCACAGGCAGCTTTATCAGATCAGGCTGGGCTTCCGCCACAGTTTAACCTGGTCAAGAACCAAGGTGGTGATAACACATATTCACTGCAGCCCCTTGTGCCAGGATGCTTTGCTCTTTACAAATAATAAATTCAGCCTCACGTTCCTCTGCGCTTCTCCCGTTCTCCTGGCATTTCTGAACACTGAAGGCAAATTTGCTGTTTATTGAGGTCTCCGTGCTTTTTCCTGCACCTCTACCCCGTCTCAGTTTTCAGGAGAAAAACTGCTGGCAGGGTTTGTCTCTGCACGGCAGGTAAGCATTTACTTTTTTACTAGGAATAAACTGAAGTTATGTTTGGCAATGTCCTGTGGGAACAAATTATCTTTGGAGACTGCTCATGTCAGATGGCTGAAACACCTGATAATCGTCCCTTGTATTATTGATTGCTGTGCTCTGCATTGCTTCCAGATATCTGCAAGTTATTACACAGCTCAATACATCCAAAGTTAGGAAAAAAAATAGCAAATGCAAGTGACCTGTTTTTTTCTCCCACTACTGGGAAGATTTCTGTGCTCTTCTACCTCTGACTTGACATTAAATGTTTCCAGATTCCACAAATTTAAGGAAGGTCTGTACAGATGCACATCGCTGTCAGTTCTTCACAGCCTCGAACACCTACTTGCTCTAATGGGATCTGCCTTCCCTCCTTCTCCTCATTTTCATCAGTTAATTCGTC